AATGTTCAGGTACTAATAAAAAAATTACATAATCCATCAGTACTCCACGAGACGATTTTTTAAACATAATTAATCCGTCATTATCATATGTTTACTGTAGCACCACATTGTCAAATCATGGACAAATTAGGCTTAAAAGATTCGTCTCGTAAATTAGTCGTAAACTATACAATTAGTTTCGTAATTAATCTATATTTAATACTCCCATGCGCGTGCCAAACATTAGCTTCCGTGTGTTCTCTCCCTCCAAACTCTGATCGAGATTTTTTGTGTTATAGATTAGAAAAAACTGGGAACGTCGTGGTGTACGTAGGCATCTGGAGTTGCCGTGTGGGCCGCGTCACGTGGGCCTCCCGTGTCTCGTGTTGGCGTGAGCGTGATCTGGGTAAGGGCCCGTTTAGTTCGCCCGAATTCGGGCGAGGAGTCCAGAATTGCACAGTAACTCGGCCTTCTTAACTAAATAGGCCTACGAACTTTGGACCGCCCAAAATCGGCCGTGGACGTATACCCCCGACGACGACGACCCCCATCCTCTCTCGCTCATTCACACTCCTCAGCCACACTCGCAAACCCTAGCGCCGGGTCCCTCTCCCGCAGCGCCGCTCTCCCTCTCCCCCGCCGCTCCTCTCGCCGCCTCCGCTCCAATCCACCGTTCCACCGCCAGATCCACCCCATTGTCGGTCGGATCCGTCGCGTCCGCTACAATATCGACCGTGCTTTACCCCGTCGTCGGCGATGGACGGCTTCAACGGCGAAGGGAACGACTCGGAGTTCAACGTCGGCGCATCCGGCACCGGCTCCGAGTTCGATCTCGTCGGAAACGACAACGTCTCCGACTACTACGACGGCCGCCGCACAAGGAACCTCTTCTCCCTGGCGCCGCCGGGCTCCGGATCCGGTGACTACAACTCGTACACCTCCGTGCCGCCTCCGCTCTCGTCGTCGACCATCCCGTCCCCAGGTGAGCTGCGTATGTCTGGCCTCAACGTCAACGGAAGCGAAGGTTGGCCAAACATCGACGCCTACGAAGGCATCCTTCGCTCCGGCGACCAAGCCGGCGGCATCGGCAGCAGCCGGGGCCCCCCTCCCGTCCGCGTGCCTCCCTGCAGCGGTGGGGTGCACACGGCTCCTTTTCATCGTCAGCACCGACCTGCATCTAGGTCGCGCGGTGCCCGTCGTCGTGGCGCGGGTCCCGCAGTGGCCGGCGACAACAACCCTCCCGTCTCGGTACATCTCGCTTCCCATTTGCACGTTTCGAATCGATGTTCTGCCTTTGTGTTTACATTTTTCCGTGCCGTGTTCCATGCCTCCATTTGTAATGCTTACTTTCATACGAGGTATTGTTCATGCATTGCTTGTCCATTACAATGTCCACAGAATGAGATAACCAGAGCAAAGTGGAACAAAGATGATACTAAGAAGTTTTGTGAGATTTACTGCACCCAAATTGATTTGGGTAACTGCAAGAATGGCAACATGACCAAATGGGGGTGGAAAGATGTCCAGGACAGGTTTCGAGCTGCGACCGGTAAGCTTCATGACAGTGAGCAGTTCGGGCATAAGTACAGACAGCTCAAACAGCTTTGGCTTTTCATCGAGGACCTTCGGCACAAGGCCACAGGCTTGGGAAGAAGAGAAGATGGCTCTGTGGTTGCTTCTGACAAGTGGTGGGAAGACCATTGCAAGGTTCATGACCTCTGTAGTCATCTATTGTTCCTCTGTGGTTCGCATCTTTTGTTGATTCTGACAGTACGGGGTTTGTTGTTTGCAATGCAGGGGAAGCAAGACTGGATGGAACTGAAAGATGGATGGCCAGAATACATTGATGAACTGGACCGCATGTTCGCTGGAGTTGCCGTGAACGGAGAGACCTCATTTGTTCCTGGGGTAAGCCGTCGCCTTCACTACGTTAGCAGCTGCGAAGACAAAGCAGATCATGATCAGGTCACCCCTATGAGCTGTGTGACCCCAGTCAGTTCTGGAAGCAAGAGGAGCAGCAGCACTCGCAGCGATGCATCATCTCCCAGTAAGAAGTCCAAGAGTGCAGCTGTTCGGTCCATGGATGCCAACATGAGTAGGTTCAACTTCAGTTATGAGAACAGGACCGCACTGATGCAAAACTACTGAAAGGCGAGGCAGCAACAGGTTGCGGCTCTTGATGAGGAGAAGAACATGAAGAAAGAAGAACAGAAATTGGTTGCAGCTGCAGCAAGAGAGGTTGGGGCGCACAAGATTCAAGGGCTGTGGGTTGGTGTCATCAATATCTACAAAGATGACGATGCCAGGACTGTCTTCCTCGAGACACCTGTGGAAGCAAGGCTTGAAGTCATTAAGCACTATGCTGGGGTCGGAAACTAGAACCATCTATCCATGCATTTCACCTAAAAGTGACTGTAGTTGGCATGATGAACTATGTCTTTTGTGTGTGCAGATCATTAGTCGTAGTTGAACTATGTCTTTTATGTGCGAGGTTGTGATGAGGAACAATGTCATTATGCCCTTAATTTGCAGCATGGTTGTTAAACTAAGTTCTGAAGCACATTTTTTTTATATTGATTGCCTGTGTGAGGTCAAAAAATGTTTGAATTGAGGTAGCCTTGCATGAGTATAGTGGCTACCAACAGTTTTTTTTACTGACTGTGTGTCTGTTCTATTGCAATGGCCAGGAAGTTGTTCATCAAGTTAATGCTCAAGTGGATGATGACGATGACTGGTGGGAGGAGTTTTGGAATATGCTGTTAGAAGATGATGATGAAGCAGCATTTATCTATGGTACGTATGACTACGCTATACATGTGGACAAGTATTGCAATAGAGCTGAGTATAGGAAGCCACAATATACAGGTGAGGAATGGGTACAAAACAAGCTTGCCAATCAAACCGCCTGCTACAACATGTTTAGACTGAGTCCCCAAATGTTTTATAGTCTGCATAGTTTGTTGAGTACCAACTATGGCCTCACATCCTCAACCAAGTTTACCTCTGTTGAGGCTCTAGCAATGTTCCTTTGGATACTGGGGGTTCCACAATCAGTTAGGCAAGCAGAGGATAGATTTGAGAGATCACTAGGCACTGTGCACAACCTTTTTTACAAAGTCCTCAGCAGTGTGTTAGACCTATCTGCCGACATCATTAAACCTAGGGACCCAGATTTTACAACAATGCATCCTAGGGTCCAGAATGCTAGGTTCTATCCTGAATTCAAGGGTTGCATAGGGGCAATAGATGGCACTCACATTCCTGTGGTCGTGCCAAGTGATAAATTTATGCAGCACATGTGTCGGAAGGGCAAGACAACCCAGAATGTCATGGCCGTTTGTGACATCGACATGGTCTTTACTTTTGTCCTTGCTGGCTGGCCTGGATCGGTGCATGACATGAGAGTGTTAGATGATGCACTCACAAAGTACAGAGATTTCTTCCCTAAGGCGCCTAGAGGTACACACGGTGCTGCTAGTTCAATACTGTTGTCTAATTGAAGCTTGTTAAACTTACAGGTACTTACTGCTGTAGAAAAGTACTACATGGTGGACTCGGGGTATGCAAACCGCCCCGGGTTTCTGTCTCCTTACCAGACCAAGTATCACATCCAAGACTTTCAAAACGCCCCCGAACCACAAGGTATTAAGGAGACATTCGATTATGCGCATTCATCTCTTAGAAATGTCATCGAAAGGGCGTTTGGAGTGTTAAAGATGAAGTGGCGCATATTGTTTAACATTCCGTCGTATCCATCTGAGACACAGACACATATAATAGTTGCATGCATGGCGTTGCACAACTTCATCAGGATGAATGGTGACTTTGACAGTCACTTTGCTATGGTAGACAGCAATGTCAACTATGCGCCTGTTGAAGCAGCTGTGGATCAGCCTGAGACAGAGCCTGCTCCAGACAGTGCGGACATGGAAAGCATGAATGCATTCCGAGACAGGCTGGCTCATCATTTGTTTAATAGGTCGTGAATAATCTGAGATTGAGATGTAATTTCTTATGTACTATGAATGTTTGTAACAATTTTCGGCGGATTTGACTACATTTTACTTGAGTTTTTGAATATGCAATAAAGTGTGTCCAGTTACAGTTCATGCGATTGTGCATGCAAAATCTGGCAACTCGACACAGTAACTGCAGTTCATGCGATTGTGCATGCAAAAGTGTGTGGAGTTGGTAGATTTTGGGGGTACACAGTAACTGCAGTTACAGTTGTCTTTGAGGGTGCAAAATCTGCACATTGCAGTATGCAGATTCTGGCTATACAGTAACTGCCAACTTTGGGGGTGCAGAATTTGGGAACTAAACAAGGGCTAAGTTTTTCTCTTCTTTTTACAAATACAGATGTATTCATTGTATATATTACGTATATGTACATATATACTAGCCAAGAGCTGACTCCGTCGCATGTACGGCAGCGCCACCAGCCATCGGATGGAGCATCCGGCGGCCAACAGTAATGCCGGCCACGTGTCCAAGGCGCTCGCCCGTTCAGGCCGGCGCGTTCCAACCCAAAATCTCAAAAAGTGCTACAGTAGCAATCACATCGAATGTTTACGATCTGTGCATGGAGCATTAAATATAGACGAAAAAAAACTAATTGCACAGTTTGGTAGAAAATTACGAGACGAACGTTTTGAGCCTAATTAGTTCATGTTTAAACACTAATTGCCAAATAAAAATGAAAGTGCTACCGTAGACCTGATACTACACACGGCGTAAAAAACTGGGCAGGGCCGGCCGTCCCCCAACCCCCTGCCCTCCCTTCGCCACCACCGTCTTAATGGTCGCTCCGGTGGTTGCACCCACCCGGCCACCTCAAGCTCTCTCCCGCTCCCGGTCTTCCGTCTTCCGACCCGCTTCCCCCTCCGCCCCGGCGACTGCTTTATATTCGCGGCCGTCCTCTCCACCACACCTTCCAAACTCGTAAGCTCGCTCCCCCTCGCTCCCTCCGGCCACACCGGGCTAGCTAGCCTTGCCGACGCGCACCACGCCAGCAGCTAGCCATGAGCAGCCATCAGCCAGAAACCACGGCTCCCGCCGCCGGCTCCACCGGCGGCGGCGGCGGCGGCACGATCAAGAACGTGCGGCACCGTACAAGCCCTCTCAAGCAGTGCTACCACCTAGCAATCTCCAACGCGCTGTACCTCCTCCTCGCCCCGGCCGTCGCCTACGCCGCGCACCGCCTGTCCTACCACACCCCTTCCGACCTCGCCTTGGCGACCCGCTCCGCCGCCACCGCCAACACGCCCCTCGCCATCTCGCTCCTGGTCCTCTCCACCGTCCTCGCGACGGCGTACCTGATGCGGCGCCCGCGCGCCGTGTACCTGCTCGACTTCGCGTGCTACAAGCCGGGACCCGAGCACGTGGTGACGCGGGAGAGGTTCATGCGGCAGTCGGAGGCGGCGGGGGTGTTCACGCCCGACAACCTGGCGTTCCAGCGGAAGATCCTGGAGCGGTCGGGGCTCGGGCAGGGGACATACTTCCCCAGCGCCGTGCTCAACGCGCCGCCCAACCCGTGCATGGCGGAGGCCCGCGCCGAGGCCGAGGCCGTCATGTTCGGCGCCATCGACCAGGTGCTCGCCAAGACGGGCGTCCGCGCCAGGGACATCGGGGTCGTCGTCGTCAACTGCAGCCTGTTTAACCCGACGCCGTCGCTGTCCGCCATGATCGTCAACCACTACAAGCTCCGTGGGAACGTCGCCAGCTACAACCTCGGCGGCATGGGTTGTAGCGCCGGGCTCATCTCCATCGACCTCGCCAAGCAGCTGCTCCAGGTAACCGATCGATCGGATCATTTTTCCTCTCCTCTATCTGCGAGTGTGACGACTGACGAGCGTTCGGGGTGGTTCAGCCACCGCAGCTGCTGGTTGCGTGGCGGTTGCCGCCGGCCGGTGATGCGTGAACGGAGGGTTCAGATCGAGCGGTCTGACGAAGCAGGGGAGTTCTGACTTAGGTCTGACTCTGCATGCAACCCTATTATAGTACGACGGCACGTGTAGGGTGTAATCTCGCTTGTGCGGTGGTTGAAAGGTTTGGTACGTAAATTTGGTCAGTGGAGTTTCAGATGAACTTTACTGATTCGGTTAGAAATTAATTGATCATACTAGATAGCAATGGATTAGGTAGCAATTCTCATCTGCAATTGAATTAATCATTAACTTGGGCTATTAGTTTGACAGTTGTGAGGAATTCAGTATAGTTTTGCTAATATACTTTCGAAAACCATTTGATCCTTATGTTTTGCGAAGATCATTATGAACTAGAGAGTTTATTTATGTATATGTGCCTTGCGCCAAATCTAGCTGTACATATGTAGGATCAAAGTAGCAATTAGGAAAATTTGGCTGTCTATGCAACTTCAAGTTTTAGCAAAATTTCGGAGAAGTTGGAACGTTCATAATAGAATACAATTTCATGTGAACATGTAATACATATATTTGAGTTGCTAGCTGCTACTTATGCGGAATTTAGTGTAGTTTTGCGAAGATGCTTTGCAAAGACCTTTTGAAAATGAACCAGAGTTTCTGCGCGTATATTTTGCGTCAAATCTTGGTGTAGATCAAATTAATAATTAGCAAAAAAAATTAAGTGTGTCATGAAAGTATAAATAAAGTTTAACAAACATTTGGAACACTTTGGAAGTTCTCAAAAGCTTAGAATTTGGGAAAAGTTTAGCGAGCTTTGGCTTCGTATAAAAAGTAGAAAGGCCTGGCAAATTTTGCCTTGAAGGGTTGAAAGCGAAAGTGGAACATTCCAGCTAGTTGTATCGTTAGTTGCCGTTCCTAATCAACTTTTGATCAGGGTTTTTAATTTCGGTATTGCAAAAATTTTAGCCACCACTGACATTACCTAATTTCGCAAAATTTCACAGAATTTTTTTTAGAGAGTAGCAGATGAAGAATGTTTTTTCTAAAAAAATAGATCTAAACAAATATTAATATGATTTATGACTACACATATATTGAATAGAAGAATATGCAATATAAACAATAGAAAATATGAGTCTCGAGTTATATAGCGCATGTATTAGCGTATTACGAAATTTCATATTTTTCTTTCAGTCACCACCGAAATTACTGAAATTCGCAAAATTTCGCTGAAATTTTCTGATTTTCTAACTTATATCATCTTCATCATCAGTATCGTATTGATGTCATCACCAAATTGTATGTTATATATAAGTTGAAAATATAGTGGGCTTCCGGTCTACTGGAAATCGTTTTTTTTAACCGTTTTCAGGACACAAAAACCTTTTTTGGGAGGAAAATCTGCCGGTTTTGGAAGATTGCCAAATTGAACAGTTCCTATCACCCTGTAATTGCCAAGCTATCTGTCGGTCCTGCTCATTCACTTACATTCAATTCACGGCGATATAACGCGCTGTTTGTTAAGTTTGATCGGCTGATAAGCCATGACTGAAAGTATCGTTGGATGATTTAAAGTGAGAGAAAAATATTATTCGTTAGACTAAAAAATACGGCTTTTAAACGAAAAACCCCAACGAACAGAGCGATGTACTCGAGTGTGCACCCACAACCCAATCGCCATCACCCAATCACTCGAAATGGCCACGTCAGGAGCGTTGGCTTGACAAGCATCGTCTCACTAGAACACCGCTGGCGTACTGCGAGCCCGCCCTCACCAGCAGCGAGCCAGCGAGGTAGGGGTTGCTCCTGATTGATCACCAGTGTAACCAACCAACGCGAACTGCACCCTGCTGCTGCTGCTGCTGCTGCTGCTTCCGATCCGTTGCTCGCCCCTTTCTCTCTCAGCTCGCTCCGAACGTGTTAATGGCGACCGGCCGGCCGGTGGCCCGTCCACGTTAATGGTTCTGGTTCTCTGCAGCTACCTCAGCGTCGTCGTGTCCTGAGGTAGCTGCATCCTGCAGCTGCCGCACGGTACCGGCGTGGGCAGCGCTAGCTGTGCCTGTGCATGCAGTTCATGAGTCCCTGCAGCTATCCCTCGCCATTGATGATTGATGACGGCAGCTAGCTGACAGAAAGCTCGCGGAGTAAATGCGAGTCACAAGGAGTAAATGCTTCGATCGAGTGGTTGGGACGATCGATGGGCGCAGCGCAGGCGTCGCGAAACTTCTCGCGCCAATGCCAACGCGCACGGGTCACTCAGGGCCGACGACGACGACCGGTGAATCGTGTGGTCAGAATCAGATCAGACGAGATAGCAGTAGCACACGCTGCTGCGTGAGTGCCCTTTTCTTTTTTGTGAATTCCTGAGCAGCTGAACCTAAACGACGATTGCATGGGTTACTGCTTGCAGGTGCACCGGAACACGTACGCGCTGGTGGTGAGCATGGAGAACATCACGCTGAACTGGTACTGGGGCAACAACCGCTCGATGCTCATGTCCAACTGCCTCTTCCGGATGGGCGGCGCCGCCGTCCTCCTCACCAACCGCGGCGGCTCCGACCGCCGCCGCGCCAAGTACCAGCTCGTGCACACGGTGCGTACCCACCACGGCGCCGACGACCGCGCGTACCGGTGCGTGTTCCAGGAGGAGGACGAGACGGGGCGCGTGGGCGTGGCGCTCTCCAAGGACCTCATGGCAGTCGCCGGCGAGGCGCTCAAGACCAACATCACGACGCTGGGGCCGCTGGCGCTCCCCATGTCGGAGCAGATCCTGTTCCTGGCCTCCCTCGTGGCGCGCAAGGTGTTCGGCGTCCGAGGCCTCCGCCCCTACATCCCGGACTTCAAGATGGCGTTCGAGCACTTCTGCATCCACGCCGGCGGGCGGGCGGTGCTGGACACCATCGAGAAGAACCTGGAGCTCAGCGCCTGGCACATGGAGCCGTCCCGCATGACGCTCAACCGGTGGGGGAACACCTCCAGCAGCTCGCTCTGGTACGAGCTGGCATACACGGAGGCGCAGGGCCGGGTCCGGCGAGGGCACCGCGCGTGGCAGATCGCGTTCGGGTCCGGGTTCAAGTGTAATAGTGCTGTGTGGCGCGCGCTGCGGACGATTGATCCGAAGAAGGAGAGCGCCGTCGGGAACCCATGGGTGGACGAGATCCATAGGTTCCCCGTCGAGGTGCCCAAGGTGGAGAGCGTCGTCGTGTCCTGACGAGTGACGAGGACGGCTCTGGTTCTCTCTGGTCGTCGGAGGACGAGCTACAAGATTGCTACTACTACTGCTGTTCTTCTTCTTCTTCTTCGTTCTGAAAAATCTTTATTAAATATATAAGTACGTCGACAAAACAAAAGTGCGTGCTTATGGAGTGTGGCGGCGTAATTTGATACAGGGAAGCTCTGTAACTGTAAGAATACCTTACATACAACAAGTGTGATGATTGGATGAGATGTACTGTCGCTGACATGGTTTGGAGCTTCGATCGGAAGCAGAAACCTGATGTGGATTCTTTGGGTTTGGCACAGGAATAATAATAAGGACTGAAAACTGTACGAACTTGAAACAAGCCCAATCGGGTGACTGAAACTTGTCCAAACTTGAAAGTTGTATGTACAAAACCATGGTTATGTGGTACTGTATTTCATTGGACTGGGCCTTATTGGATACCCCCTTGACTTGTGTTATTTTCAATCGGCCCAGTTATGGCAGTGTGCCCAATTGGGTGACTTGTGTGTATGGGCTTAATGAATACTTTGGGCTGGAACGCCACCTTGTTTTTGTAATGCAACCTGGTGTTGGGCTTAAGTTATGGTTGCAGCAGCATCAACTGAGCTAGGTTGTTTGCCATTGTGGTAGAACCTGCCGACTCCACCAAATCTCTCTCTAGTCTACGACCATGGATCGTATCTACAGTCCTGCATTTTCTAGTAAAATTACTTTTTCATTCAGAGATACTGGACTTATATGATGATGTGTCGTCGTCGACGGTGCGACCCTTTTAACAACTTGTTTAATTTCAATTTAGGTCATGTTTAGATCAACTAGAACTAAAGTATAGTAGAACTAACATTTAGGTGGATCACTTTTATTCCAATGTTATTTGGATACATGGACTAAAAGTGAACTAAAAGCCAAAAAAACATTCCTTGACCTAAGACCAATGGCACTAGTAGAGAACAGACCTTTGATCCTCGGTCAAAATAGACTCTAGTCCCGGAATTTTTTGCGCCCGGGACTAGAAATACCTTTAGTCCCGGTTGGTGTCTCCAACCAGAACTAAAGGTTCCTGCCCAACGGCTATTGCGCCAGACAGAGGTGGCAGGGACCTTTAGTCCCGGTTGGAGCCACCAACCAGGACTAAAGGTATACTTTTACTCCTGGTTGGTGGCTCCAACCGGGAGTAAAGGTCTACTCCCGGGCCGTGGCTGCGCCCGGGGTTGAAAAGTTGTCTTTAGTCCCGGTTGGAGCCACCAACCGGGACTAAAGGTCCCCCTTTATATCCCGACCGTCTCCTTCTTCCTCCCCGAGCCCGAGCTCAGCATATTTTAAAGCTCACTGCACTAGTGTTCTTGCTTCCTCCCTCCCTCCATTGTTCCTCCATCCATTCTTCGATTCCTCCGTCGATTTCTTCGATTCCTCCGTCGATTCTTTAGTTGTAAAGGTTACCAATCTCATACTCTCATTTTTCACCATTGTCTTATCTCATTTTGTTCACTATATATATATATATGGTTCTTTATTGTGGTTTTTTTTCATTTGTAAGCAATTTGAGCTCAAAATCACTTCAAGCTTGCATATTTACATGAAAGAAGGTTAAAGTAGCTAGTTGAACTTGCGGACCGTGTTCATCTCGGCGAGCATGTTCTCTGCCGAGCGGTAACGGACGTCAAGGAGGAGCTTTGATTCTACGAGGGAGAGCAACAACGGTCGTGGAAGACCGTGTTCCCTTCCTCGTAGAATCGGAGCTCTTCCGTGGCCAAGTGTGGTGCCGTCCGGTGGAGAAATGCTCGCCGAGATGATCACGTAAGCAAGTTCAACTAGTACGGATGGTTATTTATTCATATGTCCCGATATCGTCGCAGTAGTCTATCAATCACCGTACCCAAACGTAGTATATATATAAATATAAACTTAGAAAATAGTTAGAAAATTATAGAAAATCCGTACTAGTTGAACTTGCGGACCGTGTTCATCTCGGCGAGCATGTTCTCTACCGAGCGGTAACGGACATCAAGGAGGAGCTTTGATTCTACGAGGGAGAGCGGCAACGGTCGTGGAAGACCGTGTTCCCTTCCTCGTAGAATCGGAGCTCTTCCTTGACCAAGTACGGTGCCGTCCGGTGAAGAAATGCTCGCCGAGATGATCACGTAAGCAAGGTCAACTAGTACGGATGGTTATTTATTCACATGTCCCGATATCGCCGCAGATGATCTCCAATCACCGTACCCAAACGTAGTATATATATAAATATAAACTTAGAAAATAGTTAGAAAATTATAGAAAATCCGTACTAGTTGAACTTGCGGACCGTGTTCATCTCGGCGAGCATGTTCTCTGCCGAGCGGTAACGGACGTCAAGGAGGAGCTTTGATTCTACGAGGGAGAGTGGCAACGGTCGTGGAAGACCGTGTTCCCTTCCTCGTAGAATTGGAGCTCTTCCGTGGCCAAGTACGGTGCCGTCCGGTGGAGAAATGCTCGTCGAGATGATCACGTAAGCAAGGTCAACTAGTATGAATGGTTATTTATTCACACGTCCCGATATCGTCGCAGTAGTCTGTTATGTGTGTACACTCTCATTCTTCTATTAATTTGCGGAAATATCATGTGAATTACTTACCTTCCGCAGTAAAAGACGAGAACACAATGACCATTAAAAATATCATTGTTTAGAGATCTAGATAATTTTATAGTTTCTTAATTTTATTTGTTTATAAAAGGAGAAATTTATAGTGTATTAAAAATGAGTATAGAGAGTAGATGGCAATCGCTTCCGGGTCCTCGGCCTCTCATGGGTTTCCAAAGCGACATAGGCCGGGCCTCCCTCTCATTCCATGCGACAAGTGTCGTGATGAGACGAAGATTGTGATGGAGTACCGAGTGAAGAAGGAGGGTCCCAACAAGGATCGTATCTTCTACAAGTGTCCGGGATCGCAATGTGAGTTATTTTATCGTATTTAATGATTATGGTTAGTTTATACCTATTTTCATGATGGTTGTGATTAAAGTTCTAATTTTTGTTTTAATTTCAGTGGGATGGCAAAGGTGGGCGATGTTCGAGGCTTCTCTTTGGGAGGAAGAGTATGTTGAACTCGTGCAAAAATATCTTGCACAACAAAGTGAATCTGACGGCTAATGAGGCGTTGATCCAGTAGAAGAAGCCCAAAGATGTTGCACAATCGGGGATCTGTCTGTTTTTTTTAGTTGAGATTGGTCGTGAAATCCTAGTGCTACTTTGAAATATATTTTAGCTTTAGTTCTTTTAGTGGTAGTAGTTGGATTGTCTACATTGTAGCGATGCTTTCATAAATTTGTATCTTTTGTGGTGGCACGCATGTTGTATAAATAATTAATTATGATCTAGGTTTTAATATGGTATTTATGTCATGTAATGCGATGAGCCGTCATTGGATGTATAATGCTGATCGCCGCTCCCAAGAGTTCATTGACGGCGTGCATTCTTTGTTACGTTACGTCGGCGAGGCAAAAACAAACGCGACGGTTTCATGTGCTGCCCATGTGCCATATGTAAGAATACGGTGGAATATCCTTGCTCAAGGACTCTTCATTCACACTTGTTCAAGTCGGGTTTCATGCCAAACTATATTTGTTGGACAAAGCACGGAGAAACCGGTGTTGTAATGGAAGAAGGTGAAGAAGAACAATGGGACGACAATGATATTATTCCCGATGGTGCATGCTTCAATGATACTTGCAATGGGAGAAGTTTGAAGAAGAGGTAGCCGCAGAAGATGAGCCGGTGATGATCTTTCTCGGTCATTCGTGACGCTTTACAAAGAGAATGTGAAAGTGAAAAGGAGAAGATCAAGTTCGAAAGCGGATGCTAGAAGATCACAAGAAATTGTTGTACCCAACTTGTGATGCGAGGCGAGAAAAAGTTGGGAACCACACTAGAATTGCTGCAATGGAAGGCAAAGAATGGTGTATCGACAAGGGATTTGGAGAGTTACTAAAATCCAAAAGAAGATGCTTCCGAAGGACAATGAATTGCCTTCCACTACCTCTGAAAGCAAAACAAGTTGTCATCCTATGGGGCTAGAAATAGAGAAGATACATGCATGTCCTAATGATCGCATCCTGTCTCATGCGGGCAAAGAGTACGAGAAATTGGATGCATGCCCGGTATGCCATGCGTCATGTGATATAAGATCGAAGTGAGATGACCTACGGTGATGTTGAGGGCGAACGTCCATGGGAAGAAAATCCTCGCCAAGGTTATGTGGTATGCTCCTATAATACCACGCTTGAAACGTCTGTTCGTAAACAAAAGAACATGCAAAATTGTTGCGATGGCACAAAGAAGACCGTAAGGTAGACAATATGTTGAGACACCCTGCTGATGGGTCCCAAAGGAGAGCAATCGACGAGAGAATTCCCGAGTTTGCAAATGACGCAAGAAACTTAAGGTTTGCTTTAAAATACAGATGGTATCAATCCTTTTGGAGAGCGAGCGATTAGTCATAGCACTTGGCACATTACTCTAAGTATCTACAACATTCCTCCTTGGTTATGCATGAAGCGGAAGTTCATTATGATGCCTGTGCTCATCCAAGGCCCGAAGCAACCTGGCAATGACATCGATGTGCACCTGAGACCACTTATTGACAAACTTCTCATTTTGTGGAATAAAGAAGGTGTACGTGTGTGGGATGAGTACAAACAGGAACACTTTGATCTGTGAGCATTGTTGTTCGTAACAATTAATGATTGGCCTGCTCTAAGTAATCTTTCAGGACAGTCAAATAAGGGATATAATGCATGCACACACTGCTTCGGTGATATTAGAGGTGTATTCTTGAAAAAATGTCGAAAGGTCGTGTACCTTGGCCATCGTCGATTTCTTCCTGCAAATCACCCCGTAAGAAAGAAAGGCAAGCATTTTAAAGGAAAGGCAGACTACCTGACCAAGCCTCGCAACCGAACCGGTGAGGATGTACTCGATATGGTCAATGATGTGAAAGTCGTCTTTGGAAAAG